CAGTGGATCTCTGAGCTGAGTGAGTGAGTGGAGGCGGGGTCATTTGCATATAGAGGGTATGCGCATGACGTCACCGTCGGCCGGAGTGAATGCGGTCACGCCCACAAGTGGCAAAAAGACTGAGCGGCAGCATTTGTTTTCAGCGTGAACGCCGTGAAAAACACACAAAACACATCTAAAACGGGAAAGAGCTTTGCGATTGACTGTACAACTAGATTTGACCAGAAATCTGAGGTACTGTATATTTTTACAGACTGCAAAAAGCAACAGAACAGACTATATTCTGCATAATTGGATGTTTTTAAATAAACACTGACAAAAAACTATACAAGTTTTAGGGCTGGACGATATGATGATATACAGTATAACATTAATGTAAGTGATCACTCGGATTTAGACCTATCTATATTGTATTTATATAAAACGTTTACAGGCAAATTTTCTTCATTTATTTCCCCGGCGTCGAAATCAGGCACATATAAATGTCAGGAAACACGATTCCTGACTGCATGTCAATATCCATGATCACTGGATCTTTGATAAGTTGTAAGGAACACTATATCGAGTCCAACTTTTAGTTTTAACTGATAATAGTTTGTTTTACTCGCGTTAACGCAGTTTCCCCTAGTAACTCCAGTCACGCAGCAGCTCTTCTGCCACTCAGTCCCGCTGAGGGGGGCGTGTTCCGGCGGGGAAGTGACGTTAATGCATTCCCTCTATTCATAGACCCGCGCATACTAAATGAGGCACGGGTGTCGAGTTACAGTCAAGATATTTTATCGAATATTTTTTCATGGAAAAAAATTTAAATATATAATTTTGGTGATCAAAGATGAGTTTTAAGGGATAAAATTATTCACTACAGGGGGACTTTAAATTTGAATAATAAACAAACATTAAATACATAAATGAGAAATTTCCTGGAGAATTTAACTTGAGTGGATTTAAGTGGATTTTTGTTTTAATTTTTGAATCTTTGCAACTCTGAGCGGCGACTTTCCCTCAGGAGATATTAAACGGCGGAGATCTGGATTGTTCTCTCGGCTGGGGAGCGCGGGTGAAGGGTGTCGCACCGCAGTGAAGGACAGTCGGACAGTCGCTGTACTTCTCTAACTACCACTTACACTGTGGATGAGATGCAGCCCGTCTATTTATAACCCGAGAATGTGAGACACACGCAGAAGATCTGTGACCGGAGCTCAGCTCGCGGCTTTCCTCCGGATCACAGCTGCACTGGGAAACATATTTACTCACATTTATCATCAATAAATACAATTTGTTTCAATCTCATACATTTTTACAAATTGAATATTTCTTGTTCCACAGCGGTTTATACTTTTGAACTGAATAAATGACATTGTTTTCACAATGAACAGATTTATGCTGATTCTAAGCTATTTAAATAAATGTATTTTGAAAATATGGTTATTTAAATAAAATAGTTTGATTCCCAGGTAATGCATGATGCATGTGTTTACCTTAAATGCATTGTAAGTTACTTTGGATGAAAGTGTCTGCCAAATGTATAAATGTAAATAATAAGCATTTTTATTAAAATGTTCATAGTAAGCATTAAAGAGCCCATATTATGAACTTTTTCAGGGGGGCTTCATGCTTGAATGTTGATTATTCTCCTCATATTCTCCATTGTTGCGGCTCCTCTCTTCTCAGTCTGTCAGTAACGCTCTGTTTACTTCCTGTCTCTGTGAAGCCCCTCCTCCTGAAAAGCACACTGTGCTCTGATTGGTCGGCTGGAGCAGTGTGTTGTGATTGGTCGAGCGCTTCGAGTGTGTTTGGGAAATGTCCCGCCCCTTTCCATAACCACCGGTTTAACACACTACTAACTAACTCAACCAGACCCCGCCCCTTTATTCTGCGTATGAATTATTATAATGAGGAATATTGTGACGTGTTCGCTCCCAGAAGAAACTCAAGACTACAATGGAGGCGTTTCAGGAGTTCAGAGATACTGACACTGATATAGAGAAGAACTGGAGCTTTCTCATGATCAAACCGCAACATTACACACTGAACACTGATGGAAAACAGCAGAATTGATCTCTTACTAAATAACTATTGACTGAGAGTGTTGATACGGTGTTGAATAGGTGGAAAATAAGAATTTGGGTGTTTTAATCCCTTTTGGCCTCATATTTGGAAAGACCTCACAGGAGGCAGATATATCATCATCGTCTTCATCTTCATCAGTGTGTGTGTTTGTGAGTGCGAGTGAGATGACATGGCATTCTGGGAGCAGCGCTGACCTCTACTTTATTTCACAGATTTGACCAAAACATCCAATTATACTGTCCATGACTTTCCCTCCAATGACAGACTGACACAGAAAAACACAACACCACAAGCAAACAGAGGAGAAACCAGAGAGGAGAAACCAGAGAGGAGAAACCAGAGAGAAACCAGAGAGGAGAAACCAGAGAGGAGAAACCAGGGAGGAAAAACCAGAGAGGAGAATCCAGAGAGGAGAAACCAGGGGAGAAAC